TGCCACGATGAGCGATGAGGCAGCTACACAGCGATGTCTGCATACATTTTAATTAGGCGAATGCTTCACATTCGGAGCCGAGCTTTAAGCTACTTACCGCCTTGTCTCTCTGAGACCAATGGCCATCAATTGGACTGAGATCTTGTTGACCTTGGGGTTATGAAATCTCTATTATGTCACGAAGTACGTCTTGGGTATTGTTACAAAGATTTGGGTTTGTTGGAGATTCTTGACAAGGCAACTTGTGTTGAGACATGTGAAACCAGTACAGCGAGGGATGAATTGAGAAGATTTTGACACGCTAAAGATATCTGGATCTACTGTACTAAGTGTAGGTAGGCATGGAATCTGGGTTGAGAGATGCTAGATGAGGAAGTAAACCGAGACAAGGAACGCCGATTTCAGGACTCCTTTCGCCGATCATAAATGACAAAGTTCTGCTCGTTGGAATCGACACTCTAGCTCGGGAATCGCCTGCCGAAGGCGTACTGATGTCTCATGTGCAAGTATCGTCCACAACGACTTTCGGAAGATAGCAACAGATCAGCCATAAGACATATCTCAAATCGGGTGCTGCATTCAACGCCCCCTGACCGAGTCTGGTTTGGTGTAGCACGACAAAATCCACAGACTCGCTTGGCTCCCTGTGGCGTTACGTTTACAGTTCCAGTCTGGTACAAGCTTTGATTTTATATGAGAAGAAGGTGCATGATGCATTGTCGCTCGCTATGGGGCAAGGCATGCAACTTCAGTGGGCGCCACAGTCAGGCCCTTCCAGCTGTCTCGAAGGGAAGCAAGTATGTGTGCGCAAGGGCGCGACGGCTAGAATCGCCAATAAGGAGAACGTGGAATCACAGGAGAGGGAGGTTTTGTGAGACGAAGCGCCGTTTGGTGAACCGGATAGATGCGTCGCAAAGAGGGCTGGTTTGGGCCATCTCGGTGAGGCTGGATAGGCCACACCCGTGGCGAAGGGCAGACTTGCGATACGGTCGATTAAGTCGCCATAGATCGTTTTAAAGATGTAGAGAAGGCTGATGTATACCGGCGAGACATTATTCACGGGCGATAGCATCGCTGGCACAACTTGTCCATAGCATTAGAGTCGACTCTCGATACCTCGGTAGTTGGTGTCCTCTGCCCAATGCGAGTCTGGCCAGACAAGACGAATCGCCTCCCAGATATGGCTATCCAAGACATGTGTCAGTGAAACCATAATCCTGTCGTCGGGGTATATAGGCAGCAGGGTTGAGAGTGCTACAAAGAGGATGCTTTAAGTAAGGGGTAGCTTACCTGACGTGAAGGATCTCCAGTCCATCCTTGACCTCCTGCGGAAGATCTTTGACATCCTTGCGGTTCTGGGCCGGAAGTAACACAGTCTTGACGCCAGCTCGGAGGGCGCCGATGAGTTTCTCCTTGATACCTCCGACGGCTGTAACTCTGCCCCGGAGAGAAATTTCGCCCTGTTTCACACAATAATGTTAGCATACTGAGTCATCCCAAGTCCACAGCGAGTCAATGACATACCGTCATTGCCATGGTTGGTGGCACCGGCTTCCCCGAGAACAAGGAGATGAGTGCGATCGCCTGGCCAATTCCACTGCTGGGACCGTCCTTGGGAATAGCGCCCGATGGACAGTGCACGTGGATGCTGCGCTCTTTCATGATATCCGTAGTGGGCTCTGGAGTGAGACCCAGCTCGAAAGCATGTGCCTTGACCCAGGTCAAGGCAACCTCAACACTTTCCTTCAGCACATCGCCGAGTTTGCCGGTAAGCTGAACCCTCCCATTGCCTGGCATATCAGCAACCTCGATGAAGAGGATGCTGCCGTTGCCACCGGAACTATAAGCAACCAAGCCCGTCACGATACCAGGGCGGCTCGTCTTCTCAGCAATCTCTTCTTCAAACTTCTCAATGCCTAGGATGTTCTCGATGTCCTCCACACTGAGGTCGGATCGGTAATCATCTATGTGACCCCCATCCTTGGCTTCGGCATACTCGACAGCTTTAGCACGGCAAACAGAGCCAATTTCACGCTCTAGATTGCGAACCCCAGATTCTCGAGTGTAACACTCGATGATTTTGGAAACAACTTCCTGGTTGAATGCAACCTGAGACTCGGCTAGTCCGTTGACCCTGATCTGCTTAGGGACCAGGTGCTGCATAGCGATGTGTCGCTTCTCGAGCGTGGTGTAGCCAGGGATATAGATAGTCTCCATTCGGTCAAGCAGAGGGGCGGGGATAGTGTCCAGGCTGTTGGCTGTAGCAATGAAGAGGATCTTGGAGAGGTCAATCGGCATGCCAACATAGTGATCCTGAAAGTTGTAGTTCTGTTCCGGGTCTAGGACTTCCAACATAGCAGCTGAGGGATCGCCATGAATGCTGGCTTGCCCGATCTTGTCAATCTCATCAAGCAGGAAAACAGGGTTGGCGACGCCGACCTTCCTGAGACCCTGCACAATGAGACCTGGCATTGCCGCGACATAGGTCCTTCGATGTCCCCGGATCTCGGCCTCGTCTCTCACACCCCCAAGCGAGATACGATGAAACTTGCGGCCAAGAGCCGTAGCCACCGATCGCGCAAGACTGGTCTTTCCTACGCCAGGGGGACCAGCGAGAAGCATGATAGGAGACTTGTCCACCATACGCTGAGACTTGAGGATGTCAAGCTTAGCCATCTCGGGCTTTGCGCTTCCCTCAATCTCTGAGTGTTCCTCGGCTGTTCCCTTGTCTTTTTCGTTGGAAGTCGCAGCTTGTCCCAATTCCTCTTGTGCCTTCTTAATCTTCTCTTCCACCTCATCATTGATCGATTGTTTAAGTCTAAGGACAGCTAGATATTCGATGAGCCTCTTCTTGACATTATCTAGTCCATAGTGGTCATCGTCAAGCTGCTTCCTCGCCCGGTTTAGAGTATCAGGGCCCAGGCGGTCATCCGTGGTAATTGTCCAGGGGATTTCGGCCAGCGTTTCGAGCCAATTGCGTGTCACTTGATATTCTTGGTTCATGGGCTGCATCTTCTGAAGTCGTCTCATCTCCCTATCGACTGTCCTGGCAGCATCAGCGGGAAGTTTAGCGTTGGATAGTTTGCGCTTGAGCTCGTCAAGCTCATTGGCCTCCTGGTCATCGCTTTGGTCATGTCCACCTGGCATCTGTCCATTGGGCGGAACAAATGCCATACCGGGAATTTGAGGTAGCGAACCTGGCTTGCGATTTTGGTTGGTTTCGTTCAATCGATCCAAGATCTGGACGGGCATAGTGGTGAAGGTCGTGATCTTGAAATTGTTCTTGATACCGCCAACCTGACGCTCCAATAACTCAATGACCTTAGTCAAGCGCACTTTGACATCTAGAGCTGCGAGGACCTCGAGCTTCTCCTCGTGTGTGCTCTCAACCAAATTAGCCATAAAGTCGGCGAGAAGGCCAGCCTCGTTGAGCTCTTTCCTCATGATCAACATTTCAAGTCGCCTTGTAAGGACTGGCGAAAGAACCGGGCCATCGCGGGTTCGAGGAAGTAAGGAGGAAATCCTGAGGATCGTGACCAGTTCTCGAGAACGGGTTTTTAGGAGAGCAAACAGGTCTTGCGTCTGTTTATCGGTAGCATTGCCTGGAACAACAGTCAACTACAGGTGATGGGCAAGCGGTTACATGGAATAGCCTACAGTCTTCATGGAAATATGTCACCTTGGCTTCAAAATAGGGGCGCTCGCGGATGAAGGAGTCAATTCGAACACGGGTTGTGCCTTCGACGCGAAGCGCAAATTCGCCCGTTCCTCTTCCATCAATGCCAATGATCTTGGCAGCAACACCAAATGTGAACAGGTCAGTCTTCTTAGCAGAGCCGGGAAGGACGTTCTCGATCTCAGCGGGGTCTATATCTTCCGCATCGCCAATGAGTCGCTGGCCGTTGCCACTGATAAGAGGGGACGAAATTGGAACGCAGGCGATGGGAATACTGTCGATACGTGTATCAGGGCCCTTTGCAGCAGCTTGCTCGTAAACGTGGGCGAGCAAAGCAGGGATGTCGGGACGGTTCGAAGATACTGGGATTCGCTGGACGAGGCCCGGGAGAAGGATGGTGCCTCGCGCGAGTGGTATCAGGGGCAGATTCGCGGTCTGTGGCTTTGCCATGATGCCACTGGTGATTATACAAGTTCAGAACGAGATGAAGCAAACGCTATGCAAAAGGCTATGAACCAAAGAAGGGGACAGAAAGGATCGAGGTTGGTTTCGTGATGGAAGCAATAAGAGGAGAAAGTTGTTGATGTCAGAAGCAACTACGGATGGATACAGTGGCCGATGGCCGAACGACGTAGGGTGTGATTGCGGCAAGTACCTTGGAAGGAAGGAAACCTGGAGAAACACGGGGCCAACGCCGAAGCCGGGATTCATTGGCGGTAGTTCCACATTTCCTGCCGAGGTTCAGAGCTACCTACCCATGGGCTAGTCATGGTGATCATTTTTATATATCAAATGATGTGATGCCAACACAGGAAAAGCCAGCGGAGAAGCTTCGGAAAGCTGTAGCATACTCTAAGCGATGCCATATATTTCCATCTAGGTCATTACCGCGTGTCTACTTAGACTCGCTAGCGATGAAGAAAAGTCGGCAGATACGTGATCGCCTACCGTATTGGGAGAAGTCCAAGGATGCCTTGGGCTGATAGAGACAGCAATCGAATCAACAAGGGGATACTCCGTATCAACTCCTTCTTTGTGCTATCATGGAACAAAGCATATGCTGCTTCCGTTCAGTTCATGGATTAGTTAGTACTAAGTTAGTACCTAGGTACTAAGGTAGGTATATACTTCCCAAGCACGTGCCTTCTATCCCCATAACACAGAAGCTCTCATCGATGACTAAGGTAACGCCAATGCCCCACACAGTGAAGGCGGGGCATCATGGAGCCCATTAAACCCAGGCGCGTTTTAACGCGTCTCTTGATCTTCACGTCCTGACCGTGAGCTCTGCCTAGCCCAACTCAAACATCACACAACCACAATCATGTGTAAGTACACTATAAGACACCCGGTTCTTGTCAAGAATTGCAATTCTGACTCTTCTTCAAAGCTGCTTACTCCGGATTCACAAAAACAAGCTATGGCGCCCAAGGGGGTGACGATTCTGGCGGCTTCTTCGCTGGTGGTTCACAACAGGGCAGTCAAGGCGGCGCCGGCGGCAAGGTACATCGCACTCTCTACAACTGATAGTTACCACTCTTTCTCATATCTACTAGTCATACCAGGATGAGTCCTTGCGCCCTGTCACAATCAAGCAGATTCTCGACGCCGAAGAGGCATACGCTGGCGCAGACTTCAAAATCGACGGTTCCCCCGTGACACAGATCACATTCGTCGGACAAATTCGCAAGATTCAGCCTCAACCTACAAATATCACCCTCAACATCGACGACGGAACCGGTATGATTGAGGTCAAGAAGTGGATCGATGTCGACAAGCAGGACGATGCTGATCCCGGTTTCGAGGTGGAGTCTCACGTTCGTATCTGGGGTCGTCTCAAATCCTTCAACAACAAGCGACACGTCGGAGCTCATGTTATTAGGCCTGTGGCGGACTTCAACGAGGTCAACTATCACATGCTCGAAGCTGCATATGTTCATCTCTATTTTACCAAGGGCCCTCTCGGTGGTCAAGGTGGTGCCAATGGAGACGGAGATAGCATGTTCGTCGATGGTGGTGGCTACAATGACAATGGAGGCGGCAATGCTGGCCAGGCGCCTACTAAGCTCGCTGGCTGCAGTGGGCTTGCCAAGAAGATGTTCAACTTTATGAACGATACACCTGGTGGCAATGAAGGTGTCCATCTCAACGTCATCACCAACTCTACTGGCATGTCAGTGCGGGATGCTCTCACCGCTGCTGACGAATTGCTTGGCCAGGGTCTAATCTACACAACAGTTGACGACGAGACATGGGCAATCCTCGAATACTAACATCAGAATTGAGTTTATGAGGGATGGGCTCCGAGGAGGGCAATTTATACGGAATACAAACTACAAAAGCTAGGTGCACGGTGTTTACGGTTAGGCGGGAGGGACCAGCTTATGAAGGAATGACAATCTTATATGGGTTATTTCTCTCTAATGAATGACTCGAGCTAGTTGGCGCACTGTAAGAACAGAAGAGATAGACAGCTATTGCGGTAGAGACTGTCGACATGTGTTGGCAACACAAAAAGCCAGAAGCATAACTGCTTCATATCATCAAAACATACCAATGTCCAAAAGAATGACGAGAGTCAACGAACTCGGTGTAGACCAACGCAGATTCTCGCGCAACCAGAACTCACATCACAGCACATTTCTCCCAATCTTGTTGCTCATGGGTGACGTTCTGGATATCCTCAACCTCTTCGACTTCAGCCTCTGACCCTGTGTCGACATTTGGAAGGATCAGAGGCTCGTCTCCCTAGAACTTGACTGCGCTGCTGACGGCAGAAACGATAACAGAGCTACAAGCGGGGCGAGTTTTCTGAGGCTCGCGAACCATGATCCACATCGTGATGGGCTCAGGGCCTCCCTCAAAGACTACGTCACGGTTGACCTCGAAACCGAACTTGGCGTAGTAGCCGTTGTTATGTTCAGTGCTGGACTCGAGATACATGGGACGCTGTTCGGCATCGGCCTGGCTCTTGTTAGTTTTCTCCTGCGGTGGAAGATGGAACAAGTGCTCATCAACTGGAGTACCTTGGCAACCATATCGCGGATCAGTTTCCCGGCATAACCTCTGCCTTGGGCATTAGGCTTGGTACCGATGTAGGCGAGATAATAGCAATCCTGGTTCCTTTCGCCCATGACCTCTTCCTTGGTCCGGTCCAGAACAGGGATCATCTCATCGTAGTATCGTCTCCGTCCTTCAGCTGACAGTTGATAGTATAGCTTCCACATACCACTGCGAAGACTAGTCCACCAGTCGTCCATCTGCTGACCCGGAGCAAGCCTGAGAGGCTGTTAAGATCAAATTGCGGTCATAGTCGTGGTTCACGTACCATAGAGCTACAGCATCATAGTCCGACCCGATGGTTGTCACCATCCCTTTGTAGCAGTGCGCTGCAACCATATAGGTCATATAGTCAACATGAAGCTTCCACTTTTGTTCATCCGAATAATCTGCCATGTCGTCACCGTCGAGTACATACTGACTCATGGCATCAGTTGCAAAGGCCTGGGCCAGCGCACTACCAGCTGCCGCAGACTCGTTCACATTGACGAAACGAACAGAGGTTTCCCAGGTAGATGGTATAAGGGAGCGTCGCCGCCACTTGGCTAATGCCCCAGAGCCATGGATACCAGTTTTACTACTCTTGCTGATCTCCATGATGGCAGTCTAACCGGTACTGGAATTATTCGCTGTACCTAAGGGCCCCTTCCTGGTCATGAAAGGGGCGCCATTGCGTATTAAGCATGATAAGTTCGTGGCCCAAGCACCTAGACTCACATTGTATATTCTGACAATTATCGCCCGTATGAACTCGTGACAGTTGAGTTCTGCAAACGGACGTAAACCTCGAGGGATGGCGGAGACAATTAAGGCTGGTGCGAACTTCAACCGACATCAAGGTGGTACTTGAGCGGGCCAGGCTCGCGATCACGGCTTAGTAGAAGGGGGATGTATCGGACGAAGTGCGTCGACGAAGCGTCCAAGCCTTTCGAGAGTTCACGAGAATGGATAGAAGGTTTGTTAAGCGGGAGTGTTCAGAAGTTTCAGTACAGCAGTCAACGACCGTCAACAGTGCAAAGAAATTGAGTGCAGCAAGCAGCACGTGGTAGCAGCAATAGCAAGACGTCGAGTTGGCTATTCTTCAAAGCAGCCTCCTCTAGGAGAGGGCTTAGCAAGATATCCTGACTGAGGGTCCTGTTAGTGGCCAGCGGCTGTTGTCTGGTCAAGATTGAAAGCTTCAGCAAAGTAAGTGTCTGTGGAAGAGAGATGAGCGACTGAGTAGACAGGTGAGGAACAAAGAGGAGCTGAGAGATAGGAAATGTTCGGGGGATTTAAGTAGGGCGAGTCTTGGTTAGACGCCGTGTGGGCCTCGAGACGGGCAGCATAGATACGGAGCGCCTCTAGGTGGAACACCAAGATGCCATTGGCCAGATGATGCATGACAGCTATTATCGTGGGGTACTAGCTTCGGGATCCATCCTGAGACAGTGAATAGCGAGTCTGGAATCGAGGCGAGATAGGATAAGGTAGCACAGTGTTTGCTGACAGGACGACGATCGTAGACCACATGATCAGCCGCGACACCGTGGGGGTGACGCTGTCGTTGCACGGGCAAAGCAGATTGTCAAGTCTGGGTCCCGAGATACTCCAATCAATTGTGCAGTTAGAGACCAGATTGGACTCAATTCGATGAATACAGTGGAATACTGAAGCACAGAAGTCGGGTTCCGTGCAAGGATTCAATGTCAGGTGCAGTGACATAGCCAAGTCAAGGCTCAAGCCACCGGCAGCTGAGTGTGGAGGAGATCGAAAGCCCTTGGTTTGAGAAGCCAAGGAAAACCGTCATTGGCCCCGGTGTTCCCGTTGGATGCAGTCACAGGAGCCCAATCTGAAAGGGTCGTAGTAGGTGTTGTCAAAGAGCATCATGCATGTTGTTTGTTGGTGGATGGCCACGGCTTGCGACGGCGCCAGGACTCACTAATCTCTTTTATCAGTACGGTGTCACTTGATAAGACTCACCACCGGAATGTCATGCCGGATCATGCGGAGAACCGAAGCATCATGATCCCGAACCATTGGCTCGTATATGGAAGTTCGGTTCAAGATAACCATGCTCAACGGCCCGGCCGTGCTGAATGAGTTTGAGACTCCAATTGGCGGGGTTGGTCATGAAATCCTCCATCTTGATAGGTCAGTTTAGTAGTGAAATGATCTCAAATTGAATGTGTATCAGTTGCTCGTAAACATTAACGCAGCAAGATCTAACAACGGATATCTAAGCGGATTGATTGACTGCAAAAACCCCCGTGCACCGTATGCCAAGTCTGGGTCTGGCACTTACACTGCTTCTCTTTTCGCTTTGGGCATTTTCTCTCCTTGACTCGTCATCCATATAGCATTACATGCGTCGAATCTCCTGTTCGTTCATGTACTTATTCAAGCCGGAGTCGAGGTTCTGCCACCACTCGAAGAGCATAGAGTTGCAAATGAGCTTGAACCAAGGTGTGAAAACCAGGCTGGGGTCATCGAATTGTTGCTTGAGCGTCTCGGGAGTGACGTATTGTGTATCTCTGACCTCGTTCTTGTTGATGTCGAGATCGACGTTGGCCTTGATGAAGAGGATGTAGTCAACTGCGCCGGTTGTTAGATACACTATCATGCAATATTGGATGTACATACTCTCGTGCTCACCCCACTTGCCGTCGCTGGGGGCCTTGTAGTGGATTCGGGTGAGGAAATGGAAGTCCTCAAAGGGAACCTGCTCCTTCTTGATACCCAGCTCGTGCTCAAGCTTGCGCTGAGCAGCTCGCTTGACACCGGCGATAGAGTCTTCAAGGGTAGCACCAGTCTCGGTAGGGATGTGGAGGGGATGGGAGCAGCAAGTGTTGGTCCACATGTCGGGGAAGGTGATCTTTTCGGATGCGCGCTGCTGGAGAAGGAGCTCGTTCTTGTCGTTGAAGAGGAAGACGGAAAATGCGCGGTGAAGGAGGCCCTTATCGATGTTGGTCATGAGATGGCCTTGTAGTCCAAGTTAGTAGGGGGCATTGGATAGTGGTGCAGTTCCCCATACAGATCTTCTTGCTGGCGGTACCAATTGGCTTGTCATTCTCGTCGAGGACAATGCAGACCTCATCCATAAGACGGATTTGCTCTTCATCATGGCCGGAGAGAGGCTCTGAGCTGGTGTCGATGTCCGGGAAGAGACGGAGCATAGATTCGGCCGTGATAGGCTGGGTTGTAGTGATAGTTGTTGTTGTAGACATGGTGATTCAAACAGCAGTAGAGTCTGAGTTATGGAGAAGAAACAGTTCGTGATGCTTTTCAAGTTCAGGGCACGCCACAGACAAACAGACAGCGAGTATACATATATGAGGAACAGGGTCAAGCGGTCTGAAGAAAGGATTAATTTAAAGGGTCATTTGTTTCGCGCCTTCTTTACTATTTGCCCCTCCAAAAAGTTATCGGGTGTGGCACCCGTACCCCTCTACCCGCTACTGCAGGCCCACAACCTTGTGAATCAGCCATTGAGAGCCGAGTTTATGGGGGTTCTCTCCAGGTCCCTTCTCTATTTGGCAGTGGGGCTCAACCACTAAAAGCCTGGGCTGTGGCTGTTGGCCAGTCACTCTCGGTGAACCTCTTCTTGTTTTAGCGTATGCCTACCAGATGATGGGTTCAAGGACTCAATTATGAACTAACATGTAAAATATCCTCCTCTTACTAAAAGACGCAAGTTCATGATGAAATGCAATATTGACAATCAGTAGTAAGTTGTACAGCACATCCCCTTAGCAAACTCTAACCTCTATGACAAGGCTGGGCTTAGAGAGAGTGGTGACAGTATGCTGTTCCACAAACTCACGCGTGGCTCAGATGCATGTTGTAGTATAGCATCGTACTGTCAAGATTGATATATCGTCAAGTTTTGCTAAAATAAGAGTAAACTGAATAAGTGATGCCAATGACTTGCATGCTCTATCCTCTGCTGCCTCTCTCACTGATCAACAAACTCTCTCACCAGTAAGATTATGCGCTAATTTGGATATTGGCTAAGCGGGGGCCGCAGATGCATCAGGGGAAATGCAGGCCTATCCAAGCGTGGCTGGAGAGCTGGCTTCGTCATTCAACCTGCAGCTCACTCTACACTGACCATACAACCTCCATCTTTGCCTTTCCGCTAATTCGACATCCTCTGCGGTCGCCGCCAAAACGATTGCCTCTATCCTTTTCTAATCCGGTTTAATTAGAGCGCTCTTTTGTTTTTAACTCGACTTCGAACAATAACTCCACGCGGCTGCCCATAGCCCCCAGACGTACGTGATCATGGCTCCCAAGATCGAGGCGCAGGAAATTGAGACGTACTGGAATATCTTCTCTACCCGAACAGGAGGCGGCAAGTTCCTTACAGGTGAACAAGCTGCTCCTGTTCTAAAGAACAGTGGCCTCCGAGATGATCAACTAGAACGAGTATGGGATCTTGCGGATGTGGATAATGATGGAAACCTTGATTTCGAGGAGTTCTGCGTTGCCATGCGCATCATCTTTGATATTCTCAACGGGGTATGGCACGGTCGCTGAGTGGTTCTTTGGCTTTGTTGCTTACGAATTTCAGGAATACGCGGATGTGCCGACAACATTGCCCGACTGGCTTGTCCCTGAGTCCAAGGCTCATCTCGTGCAGGCTGGACAAGCTATCACAGGAAAATCAGTACAGTTCGAGCAGGTCGAGGACGACTCGGAAGACCTGGGACTCAAAGACGGATTCGAGTGGTACATGAAGCCTGCGGACAAGGCCAAATACGAGCAGATCTACCAGGAGAACCGAGATATGCGCGGCGAGGTGGATTGTATGTCTATGGTAACCCGAGATTCTGGGACATAAAGCTAACGATCATAGTCCATGCGCTTAGTGATCTTTACGAGTCCCTTGATGTTCCCGATACCGATGTCCGATCCGCCTGGAATCTGATCAACCCCTCGGCGCAATCGACCATCAACAAGGATGCTTGTCTCGCATTCCTACATATCCTCAACTACCGACATGAGGGCTTCCGAATCCCCCGTACCGTTCCGGCCTCGCTTCGATCAAGCTTTGAGCGCAACCAGATTGATTATCAAGTCGACAACCAGCGAACAGGCGCTAACTCGCGATGGGCCACCAAGGCTGACGATACCACGAGTACCGGCCGCAAAGCTAAATTCGGCGATCAATACCTAACGCGCCTGGGTCGAAGTGGCTTCAAGAGCTCGGGCACGGATTTTTCGACGGAAAAGACGGAGGACTGGGAAGAGGTTCGACTGAAGCGCAAACTCCAGGACCTCGAGGATAAGATAAAGAAGGTGGAGGAGATCGCGGAGCGCCGGAAGGGCGGCAAACGCGATTCTAAGCCTGCACTTGTTAAGAAGGAACTCGACCAATTGCTCGAATACAAGCGACGAGAACTCAGGGAATTGGAAGAGGGAACTGGTAAGAGCGCGGCTGGGGGGAGTCTCAAGAGCATACAGGAAGATCTTCAGACAGTGCGGGAGCAGGTTGAGGGTCTAGAGAATCACTTGAGAACACGAGAGCAAGTTCTTGAGCAGATCAGGCGGGAGATTGAAGATGAGAAGAGAGGATAGGATAGGCGAATTAATTAGATTATGGGTGTGGGTATGTTGCTTTTTCTTTGTAGGAATATCATGGCGCTTTCTTGAATAAGATATCAGGCACTGCACTACACGCATTCTCAATCACCACATACTTCCGTTGACGTACTTCTTGGTACGTTCGAGACCTAATGTACGACCCTTGACGGCCCATACGGCAAGCGACGGCACCGGGACTTTGCCTAGGCGTCCAGCTCCGCGACTTCGACCTGTGGCGCAAAGAAAAGCATCTATGCGAGGACCGCTCACAGGCTGTGGTTCCTTGCCTTTCAGTACGAGGTCAATGTTCTTGAAGACACCGGCAGCCTGAGCCTCTGTGATCAAGAATGCGGCGCGAGGCTTGGATACGACGTCTCCAACTGCCCATACGTCCTCTGCATTCTTGACGCGCATCTCATCGTCCACGTCAATGTAGCCCTGCTTGGTAAGCCACTCCTTTGGCAGGAACCCAGAATTTGGCTTCAGTCCCATCGTCGCGAGGAATAAATCTGTCACCAATTCCTCCCCGTTGGACAGCTTCACCAACGTCTTGCCATCCGGTAATTCCGTAGTGTCCTCGGATCGTACACCAGCACGGATCTCAACACCAAGGCGCTTCAGCTCAGACTCAACACTACCAGCTATCTGGTCGCCAGCGACGACCTTGTCCTCAGCTGAGATGAGTAGAACGGTAGTCGAGGGATAAGCATATTGAATCTCGCCCGCGAGTTCAACGCCTGTAGCTCCGGCACCGGCGACAACAATATGCGTAGCTTTTTCAACCTTTTCAGCAGTACTGTGTAGGCTCTCCACGAGCTCCTCGTGCGAGCTGGATGCTTTCCAGGGGAGTGAGGGGTCAACGGTTTCGGCGCCGGTAGCAATAACAAGGTGATCATATTTGAGCACGGTCTTCTGGTCAGCACCAGCATCCGTATCGACTGTTACGGTACGGGCAGTGTGATCAACGCCAGAAGCAGTGCCGACAATGAACTCAACGCTGCCGGCGGGATACTGATCCAGGCCTGGCTTGATGGGCGCAAAAATCTCATCATCATTTATAACGCCAGGGACAACGGCGCGAACAGAAGCTAAGTTCCAGTAAAAGTGGCTGCTCTGTAAGGTTGTCAGTGTCGATGGCGTAAAGGGAACAGAATCTGTTGAGTGAGTACCTTTGAGACCAGGATAACTTTGAGATCTTGTTCACGAGGTCGCGTGTACTTGAGCAGTTGATGGGTGACGGCCATACCGCCTAAGCTGCCGCCTAATACGACGACGGTTTTTGTCATGATTAATCAATTGATGTGAAGTGGGCTTGATGGTTATTTCTGGGAGGGTTGTGGCACTCTTTATCAAAATTGAGTAGCTCATGTAACGTGTAGATAACATCGGAGAGACATGTGAGCTGTGAAAGTTTAAAGCCGAGCGAGCATGATTGTTCCGCTCCCGATGGTCTTGGAGCAATACTAAGCTCGTCTATGACGAGCTCAAGGCTATGTAACGAAAAGATGTTCCGGGACGGCCTATGTTTTAGGCTCGTCGGATACTGCAATATCTGATATGAGGCTATTGTAGCTTCAGCTGGCGTATTCGTATGGGCTATCTACTCTGTTCAGCTCATGCTGGGCTCTTGCTCCGTCTCAGGGCCCGAGGTGGGGAGCTGTCGAAGCTTCCTTGTGCATCCGACTTTGATGCATAGGTAGTAGGTAGGTAGGTAGTTTCAACAAAGCATTGTCGACCGATACTATTTCGTTGTATCATAAAAATGATATCCAATATCAGGTCTTCAAGAATTATAGCCCCTGTTCCCCACGTGCCTCTCTTCGCCATTCAGTCGCAATTACCTACTACCTATCCAGCTCCTTCCTTCCCTCGGCAGATCCCCTTCTTATCTCACTTAAGGAAGGTAGAGAAGGTCCCCCAAAGTCACCAATGGCAGATCACGACGTCACTCAGCGCAACTTGGCCCCTAAGCCCCTCCATCGAATCCCATGACCCCGCTATAACCCGCACGACGGGAGAAGCCAAGTTAAGTTCCTCAACAAACACCCCAACAGCTCTTCTCTTTCTTACTCTCTTCTCCAAACTTGATTTCTCCAATAACTTCAACAACATTCTCACCCCTTTGCCCATCATGTCTGAATCTTTCCAGAAGGCCGTCGAGGACTCCAAGAAGCTCACCTCTAAGCCCAACACCGACGATCTTCTCAGGCTCTACGGTAGAATCTCTCTGACCCATGTCTTCGACCTCTCTGCTAACGTTTTCAGGACTCTACAAGGTCGCCAACGGTGAGGACTTCTCCGCTGCTACCGCCCCTGGCATGTTCGATCTCAAGGCAAGTTAGAAGCCTATATTCCTGGCCTGCGACGAACTAACACCGCTTTCAGGGCAAGGCCAAGTACAACGCTTGGAAGAAGGCCGCCGAGGAGGAGAAGCTCACCCCCGATGCCGCTCAGGTCAAGTACGTTGAGCTAGTTGAAGAGCTCAAGGAGAAATGCGGCTACGATGCCAACAAGGTTCCCGAGGCCGTTGGTAATTAAGTGTCCAAATCACCACTTCGAATAGACAAGCCTCCGCGACAGAACAACTCAGGAGCAGGAATATCTAAACGCACATGAAACCATACAATGTTGGAGTCAGATCAGATGGGAGAAGCCCTTTCGTGGTTTCCTTTTACGCTGCCTATAACACGCATCGTATTTAGCTGTCGAGATAAATCATACCCTTTCGTTTTGCGCCATTGATGCCGTCCAGACTTCCACAGCAGTACTCTTGTCGTACCAGGACTACGGCCTTATGTGTTCCTTGGTGGACAACATGTCATGGGATTTCGCTCCCGGTGACATGTGACATCACTCACAGCTGACGGTGATTCCCAAACTTGGTGGTGCATTATCACGTAATACTCCTCAACCCATGACATTGCGGTGTCGCAGGACTTGAGCTTTGTAGGAAAATGTTCAAGTTCGTTGCCTGTAGTCCCAATTTGACTTGACCTTGGACTTGCGCCTCAAATGTCATTACACAAGGCATCAGAGTATCTTACTGATGGTCTATGGAGACAGGTCTACAGATGTGATATGCGTAGGTCAATACAACATATAGGGCATGGATATGAGCTACTGTTGAATCATGCTAGCTCACTAACAACCCATCCAGCTCCCTACACAGCACAGTAATACCACTGTCCAGTTTCTATCAAGTTCGTTGCAGCTCATTGGCGTATGGCGCCTTGAGAAGAGTGGATTTACAAGACTTATATGCTTGCTATTCTCGATGGCTCACATTTGTTACAACGATTTCACACATGGGCGTCACTGCTTCTCATCATTGTATAGAATGTCTTGGTTAATTTGTGTGCAATGTCGAGTAAAATTGTCTACCAGGGCAATTATTAATGTCAAGTATACGAGGCGGAGACTAAGCTCTCGCAACGTGACGAATGGTAAATAAGTTTTAGGTGTAACAAGGTATGCGAAAGCCGTATACCGATCGTAAGAATGTATGTTCCAGGCGCTGAGCGTTTCTCATTTCGTTTCAACTCGTCCTCCTCATGCTCTTTTTCTAGCCAACCAAAAACACCAAGCCGATCAACTCCGGTTGAAGACGTAAACAGAATGGGGGATATCGAAAAAGGGGTATTTCATCAGAAGATTAATGCAGCTCGACATTGCACCACGTGTTTTGTTTTCAATCCACCTCTTACTTGGCGTGTTCCACGCATAAAGCCTTTCGTTGCTTTCTTCATCATTGAGTCATTATTCGCGACGGCGCATGAGCGTCATTTTGGGTAGTATCTCGCGAAAACCAGTGTTTCCACGGGGAAGTGTGTGACTTAGAGAAGGGCGAAGAAGCCAGCAGCAGCGAGGAGCATGGCGCTCACGCCGGTGAGGGAAGCACCACTGCTAATGGTGGAAGGCTCAGCAGAGCCAGGAGCGGATTCAGACGGCTGAGTAGGCGCGGCAGTGGCGATGGTGCTGTTGGAACCACTCCAAGCCGTGCTGTAGCCAGAGCTAGGGGCGACAACGGTGGTCTTAGCAGCCTTGGTTGTGGTCTTAGCGACAACAGACTTGGTGGTGGTTGCAGGCTCGGTGCTGGCAAGAGAGGTGCTGGTGATGTAGACAGTTGTCGAGGTGGTCTCTAGGGCAGAGGTGGTGGTGGGAGCAGCAGTGGTAGTAGCAACGGTGGGAGCAGCGGTGGAGGTCATGAGCTTCTCAGTCTTGAGGCCGTCCTTAACGCCGTACGCCTTGGCACACTGAGCAAGATCCATAGATTCAGGGCAACACCAGGTCTGGGCCTTGGTGTCATGAGAGCAGTAGTAACCCGCGTCGCAAGAGTCTAGTGAGATAGTTAGTTTCAGTTTACTCTTTGAAACAGACTCATCGATGAATGAGTCTGGGTGTACGTACTTCCAGTGCCGTCAAAGCAGCAAGACTGCTTAACAGTAGGGTTGAAACAGTGGGTAGATTCATCCTCAGAAGGGCAAGACTCGTAACCAGCACCACAAGCATCAGCGCAAGTGTTACCGCCGCCACCACAGACTGACTGATCAGGCTGGTATCCGGGAGTAGAACGGCGAGCGAGGCTGAGACCCTCAACGGGTGCCTTGACCAGCTTGTAAGGCTGGGGCTCGGCAGCAACGTTGCTGGCGCAAGCCAGGAGAGCGACAGAAGCAATGGTTCGGAAAAGCATCTTGCCAGACGAGCAAAGAGGCCGGAATTTGAACGCGAAGTTGAAGTTGAGCTTGGTTGGCTTATACGAGTCCGATCTGGCAGACAGGGAGGAAAGCCACAAACAGGGTATAAGGATGATGGTGGAGAAGACGGTTTTGCGTTGAGCGGTAAGCGAGTGAGTGAATACTAGAGAAACTAGGGTCAGAGTATAAACGACTGTTGTTGTTAAAGAACGGAACGAGTATCGATAAAAGGGCGATTCTCTAGGACAGCAGCGACGACAACAAGGACGAACGAAGAGGTGTGTGAGGGAAGATCAAAAAGATGAAGTCGTCGAGATGGGGGCACACTCTTGTAAGTACTACTATAGGCAGTAGAGGCCGTGAGAGACTGGGTCACACCAAGCCCAAGGAAGGAAGGGCTCTGTCTCTCTCGTCTCTCGGGAAGCAGCAGCAATGGAACCGTCAAAAACTCGACCCTTCCTTCCCTGGTAAATGGGGACGGGTTTCATGGTCGTGATAGGCTGGTGAAAGACGGAGCATCATGCAGAAGCAGTCTGGCCCTGTAGTGGTTCTGTTCCTGGGGGTAACAAGGACAGGGGCCCCCTAATTCTTCTGATATTTTTTAATTTAAAATGCCCATCGTGGTTTGCTTCAATCACCACCAATCCGCGGACAACAAAAAAAAAACACCATGCCTAATATGGATGGACTGGGGGGCAACGGGACCTGATACGGATGGAGGTTGCTTGATGGTTTGAGCGTTTTGTGACAGGAACAAGATGTTTGAAAGGCATGGATATAGGGTTTTGTGTTGAAACAGCTATCGAGGATAAATAAATAGCAGATGCAACCTTGGAGCGGAAAAGGTAAAATAAGACGATACCACATGGTTTTGTGGTGCGACTTGTTTCTTCTGCTCATTAATTAACAAATGGTCTGTCTCCATTTGAGATATTTTCCACCCCAGATCCTTTGAAATGATCGCCAGCTCAGGCAAATGACAGCTGCTAGTAATGACAAACTAACGAGTTGATAGACTCGAGTGCCCATGTTAATTAGCCGCCCACTTACAACAACACCAAGCCAAGCCCTACTGGGCCATAGTGTAATAGAGCGCAATCTTGGAGAATGTGTTGGTCTCTCGTCCAAACTCAAGACTCAATCTTGCATACGCTTTACCGAAAAAATGCCAAGTCCCTTTTGACGTCAAAGGGTGATATTCCTTCAATAGCGATCAGCCTCTTTACTGACCTTTCCCGGCTATTGTCTCTGTGGAGGGAGAAAAGGAAGAGACAGCGCATGGTGGTATTGCCTTTTGCGGCAGGTACCTGAGACTGAATACTGGGGCATGTCACTCATGGCAGCCTGTGAGTGGCTGATTTGAGCACTGTAAGTCGTGTAACTCCAGGGGTCCCAGTGGGAGGCTGCAGGTACCTACCCGAGGCCCGTTGCGCTAAAAGCCCGCCTGACGCAGGAACAGGAATAAAGACTTGGCGTCCTTTGACCGAGCACGTGTCGGATAATATCCCATTGTTCTTTGACAATGGATTGTCTGCCAAAACAATGAGTACTATGCAAGTACCTGAAAGCAAGACACTCGATATCGAATATCACATTCTCCGTCGATTTGGTCCATTCACATCCATTATAATCACTAGTGCTTTGACTTCACATTCTCATCCACACAATTCTATTGGCTCTCTCTCACAGACTGACGGCCAACCCTCGTCTCTCATTTTCTCTCAGCGGGCTTAGCCTTGGTTTCAGGTTATTTGAACGACAAGGTCATGCGCCATCAACTCAACCACTTAGCCCACGGAGCAACCAATTGGCAGGGGTCCAAATTCTGGACCCAGTAACGTCAGTGGCAATCTTAATTTCAATGCGAGTCTGTTCCCCGGACTAATTAAGCCAGTTCGGAGTACGTACCTGAGCGTGTATTGACCTTTGCGCGACTCGATCCCTTTGCTAGTTACTCCTTACCTACCTAGAGACTCTATGACTCTGCTGTACTGAGTACCTGAGTACGATATCGTGGTGGCATCAATCTTTGGCGACTGAAATAAACTTTCATACTGATGTCACGATGAAAATATCATGGCTGCTGTGCTATCTTCGTATAAATCTGCTGACAACTCATCGTCGGCTTCCCGCAGACGCTTAGACGGTTACATCAACAACGCACCTGGGCAAAACAAGCCCACGGAACACGTAGTTTAGCTCCCAATGAATGAGCTGGCATAATCGACATGCAACTACCCATAAAGACTAGTGACTCATAACACCACATCATCTGTCTTCCCATCACTCTCTGCTTCAAAGAAAGCAGCCTCCTCGATAGCGTTCAATGGCAAAAGGCCCGCGCTTGTCAGTGCTTCTTAGCTCTAGTTAATACCATATGGACTGGTCATCGTCTGGATATCCGTTGACGCGAAATGGCCTTCTCCGGAACACTTGGTGACTCGATCTAGTTCCACCTAATTTGGCCGGTTCTTAGGATCGTCAGCTAATGCAGTGATCGACCTCTTTGATCGAGTTTAATAAATCAATTACTCAAACTATTGCACTGTGAGTGGACATAAAGATCCGACTCTCCTTTTACCAGACCTGCCAGAGACGCCCGAAAGAAACACATTACCTTACGTTCTCGCACGAGCACGTATCCCCATCCTATAGTCTCCTAACCGCTGTCTGGTACAAGATGGCTGGGACGCACCTCATATATATATAATACAGGCGTTTCAAACATCACCTTGGATCCCACCCGTCGAGGATGGAGAATCTCCTTGAACCCTAGTCGATCTTCGCGATGAAGCTCCCATCTAGTCGGCTTCATCACCACCCATTTTAGCAATCCATTTGTTCATGTGAGAGAACTTGTCTTCAAACGTCTTCTGAAGCTTCTCCCCCGCAAGCCACATTGGGTCTCCCTTCTTCCAGTACGTGAAGCAGTTATCGAAAATCTGACGTACGTCTGCAACGAACTCTTCGTCGCTGGTATACTCCTTGCGATCCATCTTGGCCTTGATCGTGGTAAGGTCCATTGGTCGCTTGACCTTCTCGAAGTAGTCAGGCACGCCATCCTCGACGGGTTCGACAGCGTCTCTGAAAGGACCAACGAGTCTGGTCCAGAATCCTATCTTCAAGTTAGCGATTATCTTCAGAGGCGTTAGAGGGGAACTTGCCAGGTCCGGACAGCATTCTTGTCAACAGGTCCGAGCAGAAATCCAATTTTTGTGACGTGGTAAAGTCTCGACCTTCGGCATAGCCAGCGCTAGTCCTGCGTCGAGGCGCGGGCTTAGGCAGAGAGCCGCGAGCTTTGATCGATCGATCTGCTGATGCTGGAGCACTACCTGGTCCACCGCTCGTTCGTCTGGTCTTCTTCGCATCATTCTCGGGCTCGTCCTCCAGATAATGAACGTTCTTTCGAGGTGTTGCAGAAGGGGCAGCACTGGTGGCTGATGCTTCAAGGGCGGGAACCGTGTCGAAGGAGCTCATGGCAACTACAAGCTCGCTGAGAACTTCCTGAGGTAGTGACTTGGCAAACTCTGCCCGAGCGTCCGAAAAGCGCATGTACTCAGCAGTCCATGACAGCAGTAGCTTTCGAATCGATGAGCCTTCAGGTGTATCCTTCCAGACCTGGATGAGAAGGGGTGTAGCTGGGATCGATTCCGTGATTCGGCGGCAGTCAATCATAGCGGTAAGAGCTTTGTCACAGAGTCCCTTGATATTGAGTTTATGGCCAAGCTTCCAGAGTCCAACAAGAGCCTCGTACGATGGGAGATTGGCCTCGTCCGCAATCACCTTGTCCATGTAAAGAAAGTGCTGAGCCAGTCCAAATATTTCCTTTGTGGTCTCAGGAAGCTTGACTATGTGCTCAATCTTGTCATCAGGTTTGGTTTCTGAAAAGTGTTTTTCGTAGAATTCAGATCGAGAGCAGAGGAAATCTTTCTGTATACCGAAAGGAGTCTCATCAGGGCCGACGAGGATGATGACGAACATGGGATGCGGTTCGCTACTTGATGTCAATATACAATCAGAGAACGGTATTGATAAACGTACAGCCAGGAGAAGGGCTTCTTCTCGATTTTGACATCCTCAATCTTGGTCTCCATAGGAACTGAGGCACGAACCTCTTCAGTTTGAGTTTCAGTCATGATGAAGAGGTGAGGTGCGAAGACGATATCCCACAGAAGATTTGGTGTGGAAGTATACTATCGAGGTCTTGAGTTGTGTTGAGTGACTGAACATATTTGAATCAGTGGTTAGCCTGGAACCTTATTCACGGACAACCGAGCAGTGGCACGATGGCAGTGTCAGTAGGGTGAAGCAATTGTGTGCAGAAAACCCCCAATAGACTCCTTCTTCGATTGAAAATGAAACTCGAGTCTCAGCCTCACCGACAATACCGCAATTTTGAGAAAGAGTTTGATGGAGTGAAATAGGGAGGCCATCTTACCCGAGTCTTCTTTGTCCCCATCCACCGCTCGGTTCGCTGTCTCTTGAAGCCTTGTGTCAATTGAAACGAATCTGCATATCTTGAGATATAAGATGTCTCTAGATTTTTATGTCGATTGATGAAGAAGGACGGTAAATGATGAGTCGAACTTGATATTCGCTTCTGCCCTGATTCAAATGAATGTGAAGCTAAGAGAGAAGTCGCGATGAGATTGTTGGCCAATAAGATCACGGGACGACTACAAAGAGGGATCGGCCTGCAGATTGTCCGTTCCCGGCTCGCCTCGGTCGAGGATGGTTACCCTAGATCTATTCTTATGACATCAAATCCTCGACAAAGACTTACTAAATGACGGCCAACAACTTTGACTAAATGTTATGATATACACTGCTATTGATAATAAAGCTGACTGTTGCAGATACCAAATAAATTCTAATTGTGTTATGCGCTATAATTTAATTTTGTTCTCGTTAATTGTTATCTTCCCTGCTAGACCACACTATCAACGTTCTCTTCGCATAACTTAGTAGTAGTCTAACTTACTCGAAACCACTCGTC